ATCAATCTGGCACTATCTTCAGCTTAGATCATTGATAGCTAGAGTTGTAACAATTAATTTATACCTTCAGACTGCTCGATCTTATAATTAGTTCCTCACCTGTTAGATCTGATCCAACACCTTTGGTGTTCTGATATGTATAGGAGCTGTGTACCTTGTTGAAGGACATTAACCACCCAGACTATAATCGGGTTACCATTGCCACACTACCACCCTAACCATGATGGTAATCTATATAAGAAACTGACAGGTTATTACGAACCCCTAAGGTGTTCTAAGTATAGACAATAGATTGATGGGATACGAATATCAACATTACTCATTAGAGCAAGCTAGGTTGGGCAGTCAACTATACTGCATTGTTATTCTAGAATATGTTATCACGATATTTCATGCGAGGATAGAGAGAGGAGCGAGACTACCTAGCCTAGTCCAGACCATACGGGGATCCTAGACTTTAACTACTTCAATCATCGTATCAATCGGACTTAGTTTCACTATCTTCTTCGGAGTTACAATTCTAGGACTTTACCGACACGGTGTTCACTTCTTCTCATACTTCATTCCATCAGGAACACCTCTAGGTCTTGTACCATTACTAGTTCTTATCGAACTGATCTCATACCTTGCACGAGCTGTGTCACTTGGTGTACGGCTGTTCGCTAACATGGTTGCTGGTCATACACTGCTGAAAATCCTATCGACTTTCCTGTCCCAACTGTTCACAACAAGTATCATCGTATTCTTCGTAACTCTGATCCCATTCGCAATCTTCGTAGCGCTAATCGGACTAGAACTAGCAGTATCTCTGATCCAAGCATACGTATTCTGTGTGCTAACTTGTTCATACATCAAAGACTCAATCGAACTTCACTAGTAATCATCTTATTCATCTATAATCCCCTCTCACATAACGATAACGACATTATCATCATTCTTAATACACATGGAAACGTTCACAAACATCTATGATGTTTTCTTATCTATAAGCGTGATCTAGTCATAAGCAGGTGGAAGTCTATTTGGTATGACGCGTGCTTTGGGTGTGCGATCTTGCAGGTTCGAGTCCTGTCCACCTGACTCATAAACCAAACGCCCCATATAACTGAACTTGCAATTAGCTCTAATGGGCCACTATAGCTCAATGGTAGAGCTGTACACTGTTAATGTACCGATGGAGGTTCAATTCCTCCTGGCGGCTTCTTGATTCTTACAGCTATTTTAGGCAGCTTGGATAATACCTATTGCTCGTCCTATAATATATTGGTCAAACATCATAGATGTTTTACTTTATAATGCAGGTTAGCTTTATAAATCTATTTATATGACCCTTACTTTACACATAACATGAACAGCTTCTTACTAGACTTACTAGCATTTGGTGCAGTATTATCAGGGATTCTAGTTATTACATCTAAAATCCTGTGATTTCTGTACTATTCCTTATTTCAGTATTCATTAATGTAGCTGGATATCTAGTACTCATGGGTGTTGCTTATCTAGGACTTGTCTATATTATTGTCTATGTAGGAGCTATTGCTATTTTATTCCTATTCGTTATTATGATGCTAAATCTACGACTTGTAGAACTTCTTGATACAGGAAAGGCTTATACGCCAAATCTTCCACTAGGTACTATGCTAGGGGCACTCTTCTTCTTTGAACTACTTTCATTGACTCTATCTTCACAAGGTGGAGAAGGATCTGACTCTTTTGCAGGTTACTCATTGTATAATGATTCCGGATTGTTCCAATTCCCTATCACACTATATAATAAGATCAATAATCTACTTGCACCTAATCTACTAGGTGAAACTGCTGACGTTATTACTGATTCCAATGTACATGTTGCATTCAATCCTACAACAGCAGATCTTTCATTTACTTACATTGGTGGTGCAGATCTACAAATCGAAAGGATTGGACAAGGACTATACACATATTAGACACTATGACTAATTATCGCAAGTTTCATTCTACTATTGAGTATGGTAGGACCTATTGTTCTATGTATGAAGCGAGCATCAGCTTAGTTTCCGCTTAGTAATAATTATTAACAAATCTTCCCCTTTTCACCCTTGGCATCGGCGTAGCAGCCTAGTATTACTCTGAAGTTATGTTAATGCTATATAAGGCTTAGAGTTTAGCATTGGCTTAGGGTTGTACTGATGAGGTGGTCTTATCCGGAGATTGCAAATCTCTTGGTCGTCTTACGGCTGTGGTTCGACTCCCCTAAAACATCTATGATGTTTCGTTCAGTGGTTAGAATAGTTGCCTTCAAAGCTACTTACGTGGGTTCGATTCCTACAGCCCTTGGTATAATAATAAAGGGGACCTAGTACAATGGTAGAATTTCGCCCTTGCACGGTGAAGATATGAGTTCGATTCTCATGGTCTCCAATTGCTTTGTTAGCTCAATGGTAGAGCACCGTACTGAAGATGCGGGGATTTGTGTTCGACTCACAGATGGGGCAACATGGGGAGATCCATAACGGTCGTGGGCTTCGCTGTAAACGAAGTGGTTCTATACCAAAGTAGGTTCAACTCCTGCCTTCCCAATACTAATACTTGTTTGGATGAGTGGCAGAGTGGTCGAATGCGGCCAGCTTGAAACTGGAAACATCTCTGAAGTTTTGGTAGTTCGAATCCTACCTCATCCGTATTGGCTAGTTAGCTTTTGAGGATTTACTTCCGTGCTAGCTAGTATTCATCTCAGCTATACTTTAAGTAACATTGATTCGCCTGGCCCGACCCTTTAAGGGCGGGAGTCGTCGTCTTGCGGCAACATAGCGTTAATGGATACTTCCAGCCTTAAATATATAAAACATGACAACATCACCATACAACTTCCAAGGTCATCCATATCACATGGTAGAACCTTCACCATGACCAATTCTAACATCATTTGCGCTACTAACACTAACAACATCTGGTGTAATGTATTTTCATGGCTATGCGCACGCACTTTCACTTGTAGCACTTGGATTCTTTGCCACTCTATTTGCTATGATCCTTTGATTCCGAGACGTATCTGCAGAAGGTAGTTATCTAGGACATCACACATTCGCTGTCCAAAAGGGTCTATCACTAGGAGTTGCACTAAACATCATAGATGTTGTATTCTTCTTTATTAGCTTCTTCTGAGCTTTCTATCACAGTGCTCTTGCTCCCACAGTTGAACTTGGGGCACACTGACCACCACAAGGTATTGAACCACTATCACCTTACGAAATTCCTCTACTAAATACTATTATCCTACTATCATCTGGAGCATCTGTTACATTTGCACATCATTCAATGATCCAAGGAAATCGACGAGGAACACTTCTAGGTATTATTATTACAGTACTACTAGCGGCAGTCTTTACGGCTTTGCAAGGATGAGAATATGTAGAAGCACCCTTTACTATTGCAGATGGAGCTTACGGTTCTACATTCTTTATGGCAACTGGATTCCACGGTCTACACGTAATTATCGGTACACTATTCATTGCAGTTGCTTTCTTCCGAATTCTATCATACCAATTGACAGATCACCATCATCTAGGATTTGAATCATCTATCCTTTACTGACACTTCGTTGATGTTGTTGGACTATTCCTATACGTATCTATTTACTGATGAGGATCATAAGTCCTTTACCCTCCCTTTGCTGCCCTGATCCCTTAAGGGCGGGGTCGGAGTATTTCATAATCAAAGCAAAGGCGATGGGCTGGGAGGGCTCAGAAACATCAGAGATGTTTGTGAACATCGTCCAATGGTAGGATGCCTAAGCGTCACTTAGGTGACACGGGTTCGATCCCCGTTGTTCTCGAGTATGGCTTACTTTAACCTTGCATGATCCAACACCTTTGGTGTTGTTGAAATCGTAACCAGGATTGTTTGCGCAGGTATCATTTAATATTATGCATGACTACTTCTCAAGTTCTGGTCTACTATTTTGTAATATACATATGAGGGAGATCTAATAAAAACATCAGAGATGTTTGTGGTCACCCAAATAGTTAATGGGCGAAGGGGGTTGGGCCGACTACTATAGTTTGCTATTGAAGATGGTATGGAATCTTTGAGAATATTCCATGTTTAAGTATAATTTCAGTTGATAACTTACGTTTAGAACTATTCTTTATTTGAGGGGTCTCCCTCCACCATAAATCACTATTGAAACCTTGATTCGAAGCTTTCTACTAGATCCCTCTCCTACAGTTATAGAGGAATCTTTAAGATGTTACAGAAACATCTATGATGTTTCCCTAATATTGGTTGCCATCTTACTAAAGATTACCATGATCTTATCCTGTGTAGAAGCATAAACTTTCATATAACTGGAGCTACTCTTCTCAAACATCTATGATGTTTGCTCTCCAAAACATCTAAGATGTTTGTCTGATCTCCATCAGTAGGATGAATTTGGCGTTAGCTACTATAATTCAGCAAAGATATTTATTAGTTAATTGTACATATTTAGGAGGATCATTCTAGACTAGTTAAGTATACTTATTGTAAATGGCTAACATTATCTTCGCAAGTACCTTCAGATCACCCATGGAAGAATAATAAACAACTATAGCCACTGGCCCTAACAACACCTTTGGTGTTGGAGATTATAGCTTATATTAAATAATCCTTCTATAAGAGGGAAATTAATAGTATATCCCACACTTCGGGGCATTAAGTGGTAGCACTCATTAAGTACTTCTAATTGAGAGATAATCAGGAAACTTCCTCATTTACTTCGGAACACCCAAGGTGTTCCTTCGTAAATGCTTCATGTGGTACTAGTACGAAAGATCCATACCAAATCCACTCTTGTTTTCAGCAAAGCTCGGGGAGCTTTGTAAGACAAGACCTGCATGTAGAAGGAGGAAGTAAGTTCTATAATTGACGGTCATGAAGGTGGCTCCTCCAAAAACATCTATGATGTTTGCTTATACTCCATCCTACCTTTAGAGAAAGTAAATAAATCACTTTATAGTTACGGACCTTTAATGTTCCATTAACAAAGGTGATATTACGGATTAGTCTTACTTCAAGGGGCTCGGCCCTCATAATTCAATTTATTGTTACCGATCCTTCCCTGTTAATAAGCTTTCTAAATCTAGTTATTACTCAGCCTCTTATTGATGCGACTAAAATGATCACTATTAAGAAACATCTATGATGTTTGAACCAGCCAAAATTACCAACACTTTGGCGATATTATTCGTACTTCCCTATTAATAAGGGCCATCAACTAATGAGCTAGATAAAGAATCAGCTTACTTCTTAGTAGTTCAGATCTAATTCTTTATTAATAAACAGGTAAGATGTGGCATCACTAGTGATTTTAGAAACATCAGAGATGTTTCACTAATCTATTTAATAAACTTCATACAGAAGGACCACTAACTACTTTGAGTAGAGCACTCCAGCTTACTTAGTGCCGGACCCTTCAATAAAGATTGTTCTGTTCTCCCCTTTAATCTGCCACTAAATGATGCCAGGTTGTACAAATAACAATCATGATCTAATAGCTTATCTCTTATTACCCGACATGGGGACATGTTCCACAACACCTTTGGTGTTGTTAACTGATGTTTATTCTAGATGTGGATCTGTTTAGTTTAAGATATTCGATCTTTTTAGGGAAGTCCCTCAACACTGAATTTACAGCTATATGACGAGCCGTACGACCCGTAAATAGACACAGAGGCGATGATTTCCACTAACCACAAACATCTATGATGTTTCCTGCATGTGCCTGCATTATAACTGACCTCCCCCAATAATATTACAAATCGACTCAATATACAAAAATCTACCATTATCGCGGTGATATCCAGATTGATCCGGATAAAATTGATAGAAGGAATAAGAGCGTCCTTTTTACTTCCTATATCGGACTAACTGTAGCCTAATATGATTGGCCATATAATAATCTTCCATATAGTAAAATAGATAGCTTCTTCAACTCCCCCCCCCAGGCTAGCATAG